TGGAACCTGATTTATTTGAAAGGATTTATTTGACCCACAGAGTACTAATGAGAGTGCAGTCTGGGTGTAAGGGACAGTGGCACAAGGAGGAGCAGGACCCATCCAAACACCCCCATTTTTTGGGTGCAGGCATGACTCCAGGCAAAATTTTGAATTTTTCAGAGTGAGACTTTGCTTTTAAAAGGTTCTGGAACCAATTTCTACTTGTGGGGCCGGGGGGTTCCCACACCAACAATTCTTGGACACCAACTGGGTGTCCTACAATTTTACTCAATTCTGACACTATCTACATGGGAGAACAGCAGATCGTACAGGCTTAGTCCTACAAGATTGTCCCTACCTCTTCAGACACCAGTCGCCAAATCCATATTTTCACCTGTGCTTCTGACCAACTGGCTGAGGTTTAGAGTTCCAATGACCCCCTCCTCCGGTTACATTAATTTGCTAGAGTGGCTCACAGAACCTAGAAAAAAATTTTACTTACTAGATCACCAGATTATTATGAAAGAATATAAGCCATGGACGGCCAGATGGAAGAGAAGCTTAGGACAGGTATGGGGAAAGGGCTCGGAGTTTCCATGTCCTCTCCAGGTGTGCCTCTGTCCCCAAGTCTCCACATGTTCACCAACCAGGAATGTCTCCAACTGGGAAGTTTTCCAAACCCTCTTTGAGTTTTTATGGAGGTTTCATTACATAGGCATGGTTGGTTAAAACACTGACCACTGGCAGTTGATTCATCCTCCTGTTCCTCACCCCTCCGCAGAGGATGGGTGAGAAAGGGTCTGAGAGTTCCAACCCTCTAATCATCAGGTGGTTCCCAGGACCATTGGTTGGTGAGTGTCCTCATTAATCTAAAAAAGACACATGTTTATGGCTCTCTACAATTAAGAAATTCCAAGGTTTTAGGAGCTCTATGCCAGAAACAGTGATGGTGACCAAATATATATTTCTTACTATAAATCACAATATCACAGGCTTCTACCCACTTTCCTTCCTATACCTCCTTCCCCATGTTCTAAATCTAGAGCCTTTCTTTCTAGTCATGAGGCATCTCTAAGCTTTGCTGATGCCCTAAGCTTCCCATTGTGCTACCCAACTCTGGCATCTCTGTTTCTCCAAGGGTCAGATTTACCTACATTCTCTAACATAACCTTTCTCCCAGCCAACACACACACATTTAAATTCCCACTTTCTCAAGGCACCTCATTTAACTTTGTATTGTAAAAGAAGCAAACTTTCTTTTTTTTTTAAAAAAAAAAATATATTATTAATTTATACAGAGAGGAAGAGAGAGGGATAGAGAGTTAGAAACATCGATGAGAGAAACATCGATTAGCTGCCTCCTGCACACTCCCCACTGGGGATGTGCCCGCAACCAAGGTACATGCCCTTGACCGGAATCGAACCTGGGGCCCCTCAGTCTGCAGGCCGACACTCTATCCACTGAGCCAAACTGGTCAGGGCAAGAAGCAAACTTTCAAAGCATGATAACCTCTGAGTCTCCCAGAAGCATTTACAGATAAAACCTGTGTTTTTATAAACCCAAAGTATTACTAATAATCAATAGAATTTTAAGCATTAGACTTAGGGAATGGGAAGAAAAATTTGAAGATAGGAAAAGTTGAATGTCCTGACACCCATCTCTCTTTGGGATAAACCCCTCTAAATTGCTCCTGCTTTACCCAGAATGTATGCTTTGTCCCTGCCTGAACTTCAGCCTTCTTTAAATTGCCTCCTAAAATGTACACTGTCTACAAAAAGAGCAACAATGGAATCTATAATGGTAGTGATTGGGGTTGGGAGGAAACATTGGGAGAGTGACGTGGTAAGGGTAATCAGGAACCATTCATGGCATGGATAATTTGACCATCTTACCTTTTATTTTTTTTTAATGTAGACATGTTTTTCTACACATTAATTGTTTGTTTTTTTTCTTGGTTATAGATTGGGCTTATGGATACTATAGACAACAGAGAAAACTTGTTGAAGAGATTGGCTGGTCCTATACAGGTAAACATATTAATGTATAATGAGTTTCAGAAGAAAATTTTATTGGCTTTTTATCTATTTTTATATGTAATAGGAAACTTTGTAGTCAGATTATCTTTTTTAACTTAGCTACATGGATATTCATTTAGATTAACTAATACAAATGTTATATGCAAAATGATCTCTAGTGGATTTTCCATAAGCAATTTTGTTAGTGTAGAGATATTGGCATCAAATAGAGCTGGATGTGAATCCCAGTTCTCCAGTGGCTTTATCTCCTTGGTAAATATGCATAAACTACCTGAGGCTCGTTTTTTTCATATTTGAAATGGAGGAGTATTCTGGACATTAAGATAAATGAAATTTGAACAGTGCCTTCTTATAAACAGAAAGCTCTCAAGAAATGTTACTGCTATTGTTATGATGACAGTAGTGATTTTTTTATTCATTTAACAAATACTAATGGGATTTTTGCTCTCAGAGGGGTTTTCCTTCTGAGTTACTGTGCTGCACTCATTGGAATCAGGTCCAAAATGATTTTTCAGAATTGCCAACCTTGGCTTAGAGCATCATGAATATCTGAAGGTGGCTTTACATGGTTACAACCAGACATCATGGTCAGAAACCCTAGGGCAGAGGAAAAGCCCCAGGCCTGATGGGTGGCATCTAGATGGGCCATGACATGCCTGGTGACCATCTGAGACAGTGTTGAGTGGTAGAGGAGTGGAGAGGGGCTGGGGAGCTGAGTGAAAAGGTGAAGCGATTAATTAAAAAAAAACACCCCAAACTCATAGACACAGACAATAGCATAGTAATTACCAGGGGAAAGGGGAGAGGGGGAGGTAGAGGAGGGTAAAGAGGGGACAAGTTGATGGAAGATGACTTGGGGTGGTAAACATACAATACATTATACAGATGATGTGTTATTGAGTTACACACCTGAAACCTATATAATTTCATTAACAAATGTCAACCCAATAAATTCAATAAAAAGGGGAAAAAAGAATAAAATTGGATGGATAAAATGGGATCAGATTGAAAGGGCTTTAACATGAGTATAGCCAATTTGAACTTTATTTTATAGGTGAAGGGCAACAGCACCATGGATTTTATAGATAGGCGTGCATTTTATATTTTTCTATTCTTTCTTTAAAAGTAGTAAATATTTGTTGTACAAAATTTAGAAAATATGTTTAAAGCACAAAGAAGAATATAAAAATTACTCTTAAGTACTTCCAGGCTTATCCACTAAAAAAATTGTATATTCCTTTTAGGCCAGTTTTTATTATATTATGTTTGTATATTTTATATATAGAGTTATGCATCCAATATGCTGGAAATTATTTTTTGAGCATTTACTCATTTCAGTGATAATTCTTGTTGATCATCATGTTTTATTTTTAACCATTCATTATTTTTTTTTATATTTAAGCTACTGTAGAAACAACACTAGATGAATAGACAGATTGATATGTCTTTATTTGTAATTTTATCATTTGGTTATTAAAGAATATTTGATATGGCAGTTATTGAGTACAAAAAATTAAATGCTTTCCTTCAAAATTCTTGATACACATAGCCTAACTGTTTTCTAGACTAACCCACTGAATGCTAGCTGGGATTGGTGATTGTCATTTTTAAATCTTTACTAAACTTAAAAAGTGACATTTTGCTTTATGTTGTTTTGTTTAATTACCACTGAAGTCAAGATTTTTATTTCTATTCGCCATTTGTATGACCTCTTCAATGAAATAAGTTAAATTAGAATTTGGAAAATAATCAAGATATTCATCAGAGCAAGAAAAATGAGCAAATTAAGGCTTACCTATACTGTGAATTACTGGCAGATAGGTATGAGATAGGTCTGTATATTACTATATGGAAGGACCTGCCCTTAATTTACCCATTTTTAATTATGACCATATATCTAAGAAATACCAGTTTTTTAACTTTAATATTTCAAATCTTGAGGAATATGTTAAAGGAAAAATATCCATGACTCTACACACTTTTAATTATTTAATTGCAATTCTTCTTTGTTTAATGTTTTGCTACTGCATACCAAGAAAGTAAACATCCCCCAAACTGTAGTTACTTAAGCAATTTTTTCAGAATATGAACTTTAATAAAAAAGGATTATTACATCAAAGTGTCTAAATGTTTATAATATTAATAGAGGTAATCCAATTAATTTCAAAAAATTTTGTTAATTCGTATTCCCACATTTTTACTAATACTATTTTTTTAATTTGGTCAATTTGATTGACAGAAATTACAATCTCATTTTTAATTTGTAGTTTTCTGATTACTTAATTTTTTACATTACCCCAAACAACAGGGTCTTGATTAGGGTTTTGGAAGGATATATGATAAATAAATACTACTTGAGGTAATGGTTATGTGAATAAAAATGATAGACATGAATAACTAATATAAAAAAAATGGGTGATTCATTGGTTTCTCCTAAACAATTTCACTTTTTTATTAAAATTATACATGTTATATTCTATTTGAATAAATTTGTGTCTTACTTTCTCTGGATTCGATTCTAGGCCCTGGACCCATTCTTTCTTCTCTATTTTATACAAAACTCATAAAACAATGATTTTAAGAGAGGTTATTTTGAGTAAAAGATAAAGGTAACGTTTAAGTACCTTTAAATTGTATTTAAAGTAAGATTTTTAAGTAAAGTATTTAAGCATAATAGGAAAAATATTTTCTCTTAGTCTTACCTTATTAAAATAATACCAAGGCTAAGGCTAAAAATTATTAACAATAAAACAATCATCAAACAAGAGTAAATACCAAGATAAATCCAAAGGAAGAGATAAAAAATTTGTAGAAAATAACTGCTAACATGTTTTTCTACTTTTGAAACATTTGAAAGTCTTGACTATTCAAATATATTTCTTGATTATTCAAATATATTTCTGACCTTAGAATATTGTTACTTTTAATGAATTATTTAGGGAATTCCTCTAAAATTAATTCGCTTATAATAAAGAAAAGCCAAAATGCTTCTCCTAAACCATTTTTGGCATCATGTTATATTCTGTAAAGATACATGTCATTTACACTTATTTTTACAGAAAGTTGGTTTTAGATAGAAAGTAACATATATGTACTGATATAAAAGATAAATTTTTCATGTCTGTTTTTATTTGTACTATCAGTTGGGTTGTAATTTTATTTTATAATAATATTTATTGGGGTGACATTGGTTAGTAAGATTATATAGGTTTTAAGTGTACATTTCTATGATATATGGTCTGTATATTGCACTGTGCCCACCACCCAAAGTCAAATAATCTTTTATCACCATATATTTGAACCCCTTTATCCTTTACAACTGCTCCACCTGCCTTCCCTCTGATAATCACCATACTGTTGTCTGTGTCTATTAATTATTGTTTGTTTTTCTTGTTTGTTCATTTTTTGCTTTGAATTTTATATCCCACATATGAGTGAAATGATATGGTTCTTAACTTTTTCTGTTTGACTTATTTCACATAACATGATATTTTTAAGGTCCAACCATGTTGCAAATGGCAGTATTTCATCTTTTGTTATGGCTGAGTAGTGGTCCATTGTATAGATGTACCACATCTGCTTTATCCAATCATCTATCGAATGACACTTTGGTTGTTTCCATTGTCTTGGCCACCATGAATAATGCTGCAATGACCATAGGGGAGCATAGTATATCTTTGCCAATAAATGTTTTCAAATTTTTCAGGTAGATATCCAGAATAGGGCTTTCTGGGGTCATATGGTAACTATATTGTTAATATTTTGAGGAGCTAGCATATTGTTTCTATTGTGGCTATACCAGTTTACATTCCCACCAGCAGTGAATTAAGGTTTCTTTTTCTCCATAGCCTCTCCAACATTTGTTACTACTTGTCTTGTTGATAATAGCCATTCTAACAAGTGTAAGGTGGTATCACATTGTAGTTTTGATTTGCATTTCCCTAAAAGCTAGTGAAGTTGAGCATCTTTTCATATATCTGTTGTTCATTTGTATGTCTTCTTGGGAGAAGTGTCTGTTCAGGTTCTCTGCTCATTTTTTAATTTTTTTTTTGTTTGGTGGGATTACAGGAGTTCTTTATATATGTTAGATATTAACCCCTTGTCTGAGCAGAGAGCCCAGAGATAAGCTCATATGTATATTTGCAAATATTTTTTGACAAAGGAGCCAAAAAAACACAAAGGAGAAAAGAAAGCCTCTTTAATAAATGGTGCTGGGAAAATTGGAAAGTCACAGGCAAAAGAATGAAACTAAACTATTGATTGTTCCCAATACAAAAATTAACTCAAAATAGATCAAAGACCTAGATATAAGACCTGAAAAAAATGAATTACATAGCAGACATAGGTACTAACTTATGGACCTTGATCCTAGAGAAGATATTATGAATTTGACCCCAAAGACAAGGGAAGTAAAGGCAAAAATAAATGAACGTGATCACATCCGATTAAAAAGCTTCTGCACAGCAAAAGAAACTCCCAACAAAACAAAAAGGCACCCAACCGAATGGGAAAAGATATTTGCAAAGAACAGCTCCAGGCTGTAAGTTTATTACCAGTAACTGATGTAAAAAGTATTGTATTGTTCTATTTTTCAAAGCTTTTTGTGCTTTGTAACTTTATATCTGACCACTGTAACTCATTTTGTCTTTCTTTTTCTCCAAAATCAAAATCCTAGTTTTTTATAAAAGTGACAGCACATTTTTGCCCTCCTAATAATTATGAAAAAGTCTGAATACTTGGAGTGCATTTATAACCACAGAAGATGACATCATGATGGACAGCCCTTTTGTTTTCCTGGAAAATATTTGCTGATGTCACTATTTGGGGATTTAATACAGGATATCTTTTAAAAAGATTTATCTAGATATCACTAGTAGGTATTTGGGAATGCTGATTGCAGGATAAACTTTTCTCCAAGAAGTTTTTCATGAGGATTAAATTTCTACCTGCTTTGGCTGGCTACATTTATATTTCTTATTTTTAACTGCCAA